GCCTCAAACTAGTAAGAGAGTTTGAGAAAACAGCAAGGAAGAGGGCAGACTACAGGAACCACTTGCGATTCAACCTCAGATGTCGACAAAGTGGCATCATTCCCAAGAGCCTGGAACTAAAATCATTGGTCAGCGGGCACCGGGCAAGCAAGATCCTTCAGAAGGCACAAACCCAGCTGCTGAATGAACGGGTGAGACAGACCAATTTTACTATTGAGGCCTTGAAGGCCAAAGAAGAGCACATTAAACAGAAACTAACTGTGTCTAGATCAGACCACACTTCAGCAAGTGTTGGACTGTACAGATCATGCACGCTTAGCACAGCATGTCAAGTCCAAGACTCGACAACAAAATAAGTTTAACTTACTAATAACTCATCAACACCATCACTATTCCAATAACAACACATTCAGTGTAGGACAACACGCCAGTAGTCAATTACATGCCAGGGAGACAGAAAAGTGGGTGAAGAATTTATCTGACAGACAGCTCACCCAGCCTGAGACAGAGATTCTTGCCAGGGGACTGAACTTTGCGGTTGCACCAAGTACAATTCCTCTGGTGGAGATGATCACTGCCACAGAATCAGCCATCCGCAACAACAAAATGAAAGAGGGTGAAGCAGAACAGCTCAGAATCAAAGTTCCATTCTGCCTCAGCAGAGCCAAACCACCACCTTCCAACATCAGTAGAGAGGAGAGAGATGCATTCACCACTCTTAGCAAGGACAAAAAACATCATCATTCTCCCAGCAGACAAAGGAAGGTGCACAGTGATTTTGAACCAGAAAGACTATCATGAGAAAGTTATGACACTCCTTAGTGACTTAACCACTTATGAACCTCTGAAAAGAGATCCAGGAAGTGGTTACAAGAAGTTCATAGATTGCCTGAAAAATTTGTAGCAGGACAAGGCTATTGACCATATTCTGTACCACAGACTGTACCCAGGGGAGGCCACACCTAGTCTGTATGGCTTACCTAAAATCCACAAACAAGGGGTACCTTTAAGACCTATTGTTAGCATGATTAACTCTGTCACTTACAATGTTTCCAAATATCTGGCGTCTGTACTCATCCCTTTAGTTGGCAGCTCAGAACACCACATACAGAACACCATGGACTTTGTGGATAAGGTGAGGGATGTCAGCATGGAGACTGATGAAACAATGGCCTCTTTTGATGTCACATCACTCTTTATGTGCATTCCTGTTGATGATGCAGTAGAGGTGGTCAGTTTAAGATTAAAATCAGACACCACTCTGAGCAGCAGGACCACACTTTCCACAGAACAACTGTGTCAACTCTTGAAACTGTGCCTGCAGTCAACCTACTTCACATATGGGGAGCAATATTAGAGGCAGAAACATGGGTGTGCTATGGGGTCTCCAGTTTCTCCTATTGTTGCCAACCTGTACATGGAGGAGATAGAAAAGAGAGCCTTGACGTCCTTTTCAGGGACACCACCAAGTCATTGGTTCAGGTATGTTGACGACACCGGGGTAAAATTAAATCTCAGAAGTCCAACATTTTACTGACCACATCAACTCTGTGGATAAATACATCAGGTTCCCACGAGAAGATGTAAAAAATGGCAAGTTGGCTTTCTTGGACTGTGAGGTCTCATTCTCTGATAGAGGACTTTTGCAAACCGAGGTGTACCGCAAACCCACCCACACAGACCAGTATTTGCAGTTTGATTCCAATCACCCTTTGGAGCACAAGTTAGGAGTCATCAGGACTCTGTATCACAGAGCAGACAGCATCCCCACTAGCTCGGGAGCCAGGCAGAAGGAGAAATCCTTCACATAACAGGCTCTAGAGCAATGTGGATATCCTAACTGGGCCTTCTTGAAAGCAGAGAAGAAACCCAAACAGAACTCCAGTCAGCCATCAGGTTAAAAGGAGGAACCCAGACCCAGACCAGTGGTCATTCCGTATGTTGAGGGGGTATCAGAGAAACTGAGACGTTTATTTTCTAAACATAACGTCCCAGTGGCTTTTAAAGCCCAAAATACATTACGGCAAAGACTGGTTCATCCCAAAGATCCAGTCCCCCGGCACAAACAGAGTAATGTTGTGTATGCAGTTCAGTGTCAGGAGGGCTGTGATCAGTCTTACATCGGGGAAACTAAACAGCCACTGGCCAAAAGGATGGCCCAGCACAGAAGATCAACATCATCAGGCCAGGATTCTGCGGTCTACACTCATCTCCAGGCCAGCAGTCACTCTTTCAAGGATGAAGATGTTCACATCCTGGACAGAGAGGAACGATGGTTTGAGAGAGGAGTAAAGGAGGCCATCTT